TTGTTGTTGTTTATAAATTTAGGACTTTATTTATTTTTAAGAGCCAGATTCTTGCTATGTTGCTGAGGTTGGACTGAAACCTCTGGACTTAAGGGATCCTAGCAATTCAGTCTCGAGTAGTTGATACTACATGTATGTGCTTTCTGGTTTCTACTTTTATTTAGTATTAAGGTTTCATTCTGGAAAGGCAGATGTAAACTCACTGCTAATTTGCCTTTAAACTCTTTGGAGAGTTCTCCTGTGAAACCATTTAGGACTGGAAATTTCTAAGTGTCTTTATTATATAGACACAAATTCTTTTATAACTACACTGCTACATATTATCTAGGCTGAGCTTCATTGCTTTGTGATTTTTGAGGACTAGTTTCACTTCTTGTGCTCATGTATAAAAGTATCCTGAGTTTGTAAAAATAATGCTGTTGTATTCCAGAAATCAGTGATTTGTGTCCCTCTCTTTTTAGTGCAGATGAACCCATGGCCTCTCACACTGATCACCCCAGCTGCTCTATTCTTTTCATCCTTGTCAGTTTATGAGAAGTTTTTTCAACTTTCTTGTTTTTTTTATAGTGAACCAATCATAATGTTTTATTGAATTTTACTATTGTTTTCCATTGTTACGTCCCTTCTTCTTGCTTTTTGTTTATTTTGTCATTTTGTTCATTACCTGATATAGAAACTTAGATTACTGAATCGAGTTCTGTAGTAATATAAGCATCTAATATTCTGAGTTTTTTCCTCAGTACTGTTTTAGTTTATCCCACTCATTTTGGCAGAGTGTATTTCTATTTTTATCCAGTTCTGTTCATTTAATGTTTTTCTTTGAGATTTCAGCTTTGATCATGGAAAATCTGAAACTGTATTATTTAATTTCTCTCTGATGAACATTTAAGATATCTTTTGTATTGATTAATAATTTGATTTTACTATGGATAAAGAACATTCAGTATTAAACTTCTCAAATTAAATCCCATAGAGTGCCAGGCATGGTGGCACATACCTACAATTCCAGTACTTGTTTGGTGGAGGCAGAAAGGCCAATCTAGGATACATAGAAAAACTGGCCTTTTTTTTTAAAAGAAAAAGACAAATGGGTGGTAGTGGCACATGCCTTTAGTCCCAGCACTTGGGAGGTAGAGACAGGTGGATCTCTTTGAGTTCGAAGGCAGCCTGGTCTACAGAGCTATCCTGACTTTCCTTCCTCATGACCAACTTTCCCACCGCTATTCCTCCTCTGCCCTTCTCCAACTTGACGCCCATCTGATATTTGAGTCTTACCTACAGTTTCTCTGAAATCCTAAAATTCTAAAATCCAATACCTTCAACTATGTCTTGGAAGGGTCTCCTCCAGGCTATCCTTGCTCCCTTATCTATCCTGTCACAGCCCTAGTCTCTGGAGCCTCCTTCTCCCTCTGGCACATTCAATCTTAAGACTAAACATGGACACTCAGGAGAGCTCTTCCAGATGTCCTGCTTTGACCCTTCCTCTGCCTGGCTTGTACCATGGGCCTATTCTGAAATTGTGCCTTCTTCACCCACATGTGTCTCCTCTTAATTGGATAGGAATAAGTACTCTTTCCTTTTTCTGTCCCCCGCCATGCCACTTCTTCCCTCTGATGTACCTATCTAGGTCTCAGCCTCCATCAGGGTCTCTAAACAACCTTGGGAATCATGATGGAGTTAGATATGAGGACCCCCATCCTATGAGAAACCTTTCATCAGTTAACCTGTCTTTCTCTCTAAACAAGTGTTAGAGAGAGCATCAGCAATGTTACACATTGACTCTTCACAATCTAAGATCAGTTAATACCTAGCTGTTTTTGTCATGCAGAACTTCTGGGCCCTCCCTGTATTTTAGAGGTCACCTATGAGGGCTATGTGTGCACTTTTGAATAAACAGCGCTATTTGTTTACCAGTAAGTCAGCTCTGGTAGGGATAGATTACAAGGTTTAAAGGCTATTGGGCCAGAGAGATGGCTTAATGATTAAGATCACTTGTTGCTCTTACAGCTGTCCTGGGTTCAGTTTCCATCATCCCCAGTGTGGCTCACAACCATTTGTAACTCCTGTTCCAGGGGATCTTAAGCCTTCTATTCTGGCCTTTGTGGGCATCAGTCATTTTTATAAAATTAAAATTAAAAAGGATAGAGTCATTGTTCTTCAGTGGTCCTCCATCTCATGATTAACCCTTTCACATACTTAATTGCTCCTTTGGCTGCTCCTTTGGTTGCTCCTGCTTATCGTGATCATTCTGGGATTGCTCTTCCTTCCATGATCTGTTAACCTTTTCCAGAAGATTTTGGCTGACAGGATCACCTCAGTTTTCCTAGCACAGTCAAGTCACAAGAAGGCCTTAAAGTTGTCCTCTTCCTCCAGACCCTTCATTCCTAGGACTGTCGCCCCTCTCTAACAGGAAGTATCATTAGAGACATCCTCACAAGCATAGTTCCTGAATTGAGAGAACAGAAGCACAGCCATCTTGTTTTGAAGGCAGCTCCATTCTGGCCTGAATAGTGTCCCTTTCCATGAGACTAAGAGTTTCAGTTTGCTGAAGGCAGACTTTAATTGAATATATCATTCCCATAATGCTATTTAAATCAGTAACATCATCTCATCTAACCCACAAGACCAACCTAGTCATTCAGGAAAATTATCAGAACCCCCAGTAAGGCTTTTCCAAGAACTAGCCCCATAAGAACCCTAGTGAGTAAATGAAGTTCATCGTCTTACTCTTTTGACTTCTGATAAGCACCTATCCCAAGTTTTTCTCAAAGTCAACCTATCTTTGCACTGAGAAAACAGAGGCTGTTGCATTTCTGAGTTTGAGACAGCGTGGTCTCCAGTGAGAATTCCAGGACATCCAGAGCTACACAGAGAATCCCTGTTTTTTCTTGAAATGCCAAAAGCAAAACCAACCCCCACCAAAAAAAAAGAAAGAAAAAGAAAAGGAAAGAATGAAACTGATTGTATAGAACTGAATGGGTGTATTTGTTTGTTTAAGACAAACGTACTATATATCCCAGGCTTACCTCAAACCTGTGGCAATCCTCCTCTTCATTTTCTAAAATTGTGGGAATATATGCATGTACAACAGCCCTGACTCAAGTCAGTGTTTTAAATAAGCAATTTAGATAATTGCTAAGTTCAGAGAGATCTGAAAACCACAGAAATATAATGGAAATATGACAGATCAAGTGGGGCTGGAAAGTACATGTGAGATCCTTTGGGGCTTTAAATAATATGAGAAGGAACTCCAAATGCTATAGTCAAAGATAAGCAACATTCTTAGAAATCCTTCCCTTCTTGACTTTACTCTGGTCTTTACACTGGAAATGACACTAGTGTTAT